TTTTCGCTGTTTCGTTCCGCTGTTTTCGTTCCTCGTTTTCGCTGTTTCGTTCGTTTGATCGTTTATTTATTTATTCGGTTTCGCAGCTTTTCTTTTACATTTACATTTTTTAGATTTTACAGCCTTTCTCAGCGTAAGGGTGTTCATCTCCTCGGTGTCTCGAAACATCATCGTATTCACACAGTTATACATGTAGATGTTATAGAATGAAATGTATGATGTATGTATCTATATATATAAAGTTGTTCAGCCGAATTTGTGTGTTCGCGCATAACTAGAGAACTCCGCAGCCTAGAGGAAAAATTAGTTAAAAAGTGAAACATTTATGCGATGGGATGGGATAGGATGGGATAGGATGGGATGGGATGGGATGCGGTGCGATGGGATGGGATAGGATGGGATAGGATGGGATGGGATGGGATGCGGTGCGATGGGATGGGATGGGATGGGATGGCATGGCATGGCATGGCATGGCATGGCATGGCATGGAATGGCACTGAATGTGATGAGATGGGATGAGATGGGATATGGGATGGGATGCGGTGCGATGGGATGGGATGGGATGGCATGGAATTGGATGGATGGATGCATGGCTAGATAGATAGTTAGATTTTTTGGGGTATTTTCCTTTCAACCAAGCGGTCACCAGCTGAGTAACGCCACTGATTTCCCCGGGCAACGCCGGGTATCCCGCTAGTATGTCATAAACAGTTTGATAAACGATGCGTTTGTACGCATAGATCTACAAACAACTTCTCGTTTGGACGTCCATGTCATTCTTCTTTCGGTTTCTCGCACATTAACGTATGTACAGGTAGGTTCCGTTTTACGACAAGATTAGGCTCCAGTAAAATTGAGTCGTAAAATGAAAAGTCGTAAAACAAGACCAAATTATAATGCAATTAAATGTTATCATTCCACCCACAATGCAGCACGAAAAAAAAAAAAGAAGCGCATATTGCGTGTTTGGACTCACAGTCGTTGCTGCGATGTGTTATTAAGTTACGATTTTTTTTGTTATTAACGTTTTTTTTAGGTAATTTTGAAAAGGTTGTTAATGTGAAAAGTCGTAAAATTGACCATCGTAAAACGGTACCTACCTGTATAGCAATGTATCCGGATTTCCACTAGATGTTGTCTCATCATCATCATAGACATCATCATCTACATCCTTATCTACATCATCATCATCATCATCATCATCATCATCATTATTCTATAATTTTATATTTGTTGCTAAGACTAAAATGGGGGTCCGCGCATGCGCAGTAACTTACTAACTAACTGATATGTTGATTAAAAAACGTAGTTAAAATGGAGCTGGGGTACCCGTGTGTAGATTTATGCGATAAAAGTCTACTGCTATGGCTGTTGTAAAAGATGGTTCAACGCCCTAGCTTGCAGGGAACCCCGGACATTGTGTTTCTGGCAGAATTCTCACAGATACATGTAAGTGTATATATTCGTCGCAAAAATTCGTCATTTTAACAGATACTGGGCATATGCAACCCAGGATATGACAACCTGCCACATTAGAAAATAGTGTAGGAGGTTATATTTGTTGCTCAAACTAAAACGCGGGTCCGCGCATGCGCAGTAACTCACTAAATAACTGATATTTTGATTCAAAAACGGATTTAAAATGGCGCTGGGGTATCCGTGTGTAGATTTCTGCGATAAAGGTCTATTGCTATGGCTCTTGTAAAAGATGGTACAACGCCCTAGATTGCAGGGTACCCCGGACATAGTGTTTCTGGTGGCATTCTCTCAGATACATGTAAGTGTATATATTCGTCGCAAAAATCGTCATTTTAACAGATACTGGGCATATGCTTCCCGGGATATGGCCGTCTGCCACCTTAGCAAATATTATAGGATTTTATCTATGTTCCACAAGGCTAAAATGCGCATCCGCGCATGCGTAGTAAATCACTAAATAACGGATATGTTGATTCAAAAACGTATTTAAACTGGAGCGGGGGTACCCGTGTGTAGATGTATTGGATAAACGTCTATTGCTATAGCTCTTGTAAAAGATGGTACGCGCCCTAGCTTGTACACAGGTACCTATATCCAACACGATCCCCCAATGCGAGCACCGAAGGGGATCGTGTTGGATATAGGTACCTGT